CTCTTCGGCCATGGAACGCAAAAACAAGCCCACCTCCATCCCAGTGTCTCCCCTAATGGCTCAACCCATTGTTGACCTCTCAGACAATGTGCTCACAGCTCGGCTACCCAGTGGTGACTCGGTGACAGTCTACCTCTACGGAGCGACCGTCACCTCGTGGAAGACCGCCAATGGTGCCGAGCAACTCTTCCTCTCCTCTGCCGCAGCACTGGATGGCTCAAAACCCATCCGCGGCGGCATTCCACTTGTCTTTCCTGTCTTTGGGCCTCCCCCGAAATCCCACGCCACTGGCCAGCTACCTCAACATGGGTTTGCAAGGAACAGCTACTGGGAGTTTCTGGGGAAGAGCAGCAGCGAGTCCCTGGGGCGCAAGGCCGACGACAGTGTCAAACTCGACTTTGGGTTGAGTTCGTCGATGCTCGAAGAGGGCGTGCGAAAGAAGTGGCCTTTCGACTTTGGGTTGGTGTACAGCGTGACCCTGGGAAAAGGGAAGCTGGAGTGCCAAATGCATGTGCAGAACAAGGGGGACCAATCGTTTGAGTTCCAGGTTTTGTTCCACACCTACCTGGCTGTCAAGGTAAGATCTCCAAAATCGAAGTCGTGGCCCACGGTAAGGACAGAGCATGGCTAAACTGTGCCCAAAGGATATCCACAAAACCGCCGTCCGCGGCCTCCAGTCCTCGCCTTACGTCGACAAGGTCCGCTCCGCCCAGACCTTTACCGAAGAATCCTCTTCACTCTCCTTCACCGGCGAGACAGACCGCGTGTACACTCCTCCTAGCGATGCGAAAGACAATACCCTCGTGCCCTTGACGGTGACGGAGAACGGCCAGGACACCTTTGTGATCACGCGGGATGCACTGCCGGATGTGACGGTGTGGAACGGGTGGGAAGACAAGATCAAGGGCATGGGTGACTTTGAACCCAAGGACGGGTGGAAGAGATATCTGTGCATAGAACCGGGCACCGTGAGCTCTTGGACGAAGCTCGAGGCTGGTGATGCGTGGGAGGGTGCTTGTTCGTTTGAGAGCAAACTCTGAGCCCAGCCTCAGGGGACCGAGCACTCTTCCTAGGAGGCTGCGACACAGGGAGAGACGGAGAAGTGACTCGATAGAGAAAATTGTGGATTTGGAATTAGTGTTTCCCTTTTACACAGAGAACCAAAAGCCGTCCGAGGAAAATGACATGATATGAGATGAATGATACGAAAGACACAGGGGAGCAGGGAGCGAGCATTGCATTGCCTGAGATCTAGCGGAGTTCGGGGTCCGAGTCCGTCTCAGCGACGAGGTCTACCTATTAGCCTGGAGGGAATCACATCCTGGTGATCAAGAGCGGGAGCGTGGCGTGGAATAGATTTCCCCCCATTGAGGCATTGACACTATTGATACCAAGTCCATTCGGCGATTGTGGTGACACTCGTTCGTCTTCTTCCACTCGTCCATTCGTTGTTGTTGTGAGAACCTAAAGGTCATGAGCCAACTTGACTGGATGGGTGATGAAATTCTAACAAGACGTCCATTTCGAGTATTTGCCAGTTTAACCACACGCTCACCTGTGGTTATGAGCTAGGTATATAGCGATAACGCGACCTATGAGTGAGTAAATGAGGAATGAGTGATCGAGTAAGTGAGTGAGTGAGTAGAGACATTTTTTCATGATCCCAATAGTTATATCGAGGGACTCCATTGACCAGTTATTCCCTATTCCCAAATCCGTTCCCGTTCCCAAGAGTCCATTTCATATATCTTTCATACATCTTTTCATGACGTCCCACCTTCCCTCCCCGTTCAATGTGATTCAATTCGGTTCAATTCAACTCGACCTCCATTCGAACGACGTCGTCGTCGTCGTCGTCTCTTTCCCATCTTGTTTTTTTGGGGAGGGGGGATAAATTCGATCTCATCAGTGATGGAGGCTCAGAGCGTGGTGGATAACAGCATTGTTTCGTGTTTTTGTCCGGATCCGATTTCTCGAAAAATATCGTCTTGTCTCGTCTCGTAGACATGTTAAGATGTAGAGCCATGAGAGCACATAACCGGAACGGGGTTCTTGGTTTGGTTCAACCTCTGGCTAGCAAGCAAGGAAGCAAGAATGTCTCTCGCTATCCGCCCAGCACACTCTGTCGTACGAGGTAGTAGGCTCTCCTTGGATGGACGGGCACAGAGCACGTAGAATATCTCCCTCGAATCGACCTCAAGTCGGGGGCCGTTCCATATCCGTTTCCACATATCTTGTCCCTGTCCGTCTGGCGCCTACTAATGCCCTTCCTCCACCCTTCCTTATCCTCGATCATTCTGTTCTGTCTATCGAGGTCGATCCATCTATTCCCGAAGCCGCCCTAGCTCGGGCCTCACGGACTTTTTGCAAGTACTCCTGGTGTTCGCGATCTGTCGAATCACCCCCACCAAACCCGAAGGAATGGCGGCGTCCATTAGCCAATATACACAGATACGAGTGGGCATAAACTGGGTCGGGGATAAAGGCGGAGGAGGAATGGATGTAGTGAATTGGGGGTTAGGACAGTCGTCCATGAACTAAGGGAAGAAGGATGGAAAAACTTACACCTCTCCCACAAGAAATAACTGCTGACGATCGCAAACGGCAGCGCCACCACAAAAGTGGTATACCGCGTCGACGCCTTTCTGTACCGGGGATCCTTCTTCAACTGTTCGAGCGGCAACTCGGTCAGTTTCGGCGCATTGGGCACCTCGGGAGGGATCGTCGGGCGCGGCGGCATGGACGGTCTCGACCCGCCACTCGCGTTGGGGCTGTTTTGCTGACGGGCCGCGAGGGCGATGGTGGTGGACATGGGCAGGGCTTTTGTCGACGAGTACCCGCGGACTTGGTGCTGGGTTTGGGCGGTTGCGATAGGGGAGGACAGGACCGAGGGCGGTGGGTAGAGGTGTTGTGGTTGTTGTTGGCTGAACGACACGGTTGTCTGGGTGGTAAATGCATGGACATGGGCGGCGTCACTTGTCACAGCAGTATTGTGAGCCGTGTTCGATGCTGCGCTTGCTGTTGCTGCTATAATCATGCTCGGTGCCTCGCCTATTACGTGTCGAGGCCCGGTCGAAATAGTTTCGAGAGCTGGCGCTGGCGCTGGTACTGGGGATATCACGTCCGCCTCAGAAGGTATCTGTGCTGCTCGTGTTGATACTTCGTGTATCTCTGCTTCGATGTCCCGCGACGATAAATGCCGAGCTTCTCTCTCGTTGACAAGTCGTAGAATATCCAGCTGGAGCTGACTCGATTTCTCGGAAAAGGCTTTGGCGTGGCCCAGGATCTTGGAGGTTGGGGTCGAGGACGAGGTTGACATGCGAGACGTGCCGGGTTGTTGCGAGGTCGTCTGCGACGAGATTTCTGTTTCTCCCTTTTTGGCTGTGGCCTTTGCCTTGGTCTTTTTCTCCGTCACGGTCGCGGTCGCTGTCAATGTCGCTGAGCTAGAGGTAGAGATAGAGCTCGCTGTGTCGTTTTGGCCCGAAGAAACCTTTGCTGCGGTCGACTTGCGAGCCTTGGATGGAGCAGCTTCTGGAGTCTTGACACCACCAGCAGCCGACGATGGTTTCCTCTTGGCCGACGCCGACCCTTTTCCTGAGGACACGCTACCAACCACTTCCTCCTCGACGGCGGCACCACCAGCACCAGCAGTAGGGGGAACTTGCTTTGCTCTCCCCGACCTCGCCGACGCTGCCAGAGAAGACGTCTTTGACGCCGTCGTCGCTGCCGACGAACTCGGCCTTCCTCGAGATTTCGGTTTTAGGGTATGAACCATCTCCATCTCGGCAGCATCTGTTTTGCTCTCCTGCTGTTGCAACAACACCACTCCCTCATCATCAAGGCTTTGTTTCTTGGCCGGCCGACCCCGTTTCTTCGTTGTCGTCGCACCTTGGACTTGGACTTGTGCCTCTGCCATTATTGCGTGTCCGGTCGATCAATGCTCTTGATTTTGTACTTGATGACCACGAATAGCTGCAGAAATCGAACTGGTGTTCTCGTCCGTCTGTCTTACCCCCGAACCAAAGCCTGGGTGATATATTCCCGAACAAGAACAAAGTCCACTGTTCAGTAACACTACGAAGTTACTCGGCACCCGTACTCGATACGTTGTGTGGCGACACAATGGCCCAATGCTAGCAATCAATGATGATGCCACCTATACTCGGTACACACGTACGTACACAAGTACCCAGTAATTACTGCCAAAGCGAGACGCGCCTTCATAGACGAGAACGCGCTATGGAGATTACCTGTTGTTGCTTGTTCTCACCAAAGTGGACAAAGTGGGGGAGCCCAAACAACTCGGCTGCTCGGGAACTCTGTACATAACAACTCAGGGGCGGCCACGCAGCCACGGAGCTACGGGGTGGCCAATGCGAAACGCTATTACGTCTGGGGGGGGGAAAGATCAAAACGTCTTCCGTCCTCGTCTTCGCTTCATCTTGTCCGGTTTCGTCTCGTCTGATCTTGTCTGGATACGTCTGGTGTCTCGTGTGCCGGAATGATATGTACTTGCAGGTAGAAGAAACACCTCTTACTTCTTACCAGTACTTCTCACAAGCACTCTCTTACCAGAACTTCACACAAGTTCTTCTTACACACGTACTTCTTCTGCGTCCTTCCCATAAATACTCAATATCTCCTCGTAGCTTTCTTGCCGCAAAAATTACAATAAAAACAATACAACAAAATAGGATATCGTGCCATGTCGGTCGATGTAAAAGTGATTATCTTGTGTAGTTTGATGAATACCTCACCAGGTTTCCAATATCTACACCATAAAAACTCCCCCATGGGTGAATAACTGCCCATGGAATCTTTTGTTGCCATGTTGCTGTTGCCAGTCCCTCCTCAAACAAACAAAACTCAATGAAATGCTTGGTGTACAAGATGTGGTCGAAAATCATCTCCACGAGGCCCTGAAGCCACCCGACGCTATGCTCTATAGTAGTAATACCCCAGCGACCAGCTCGACTCTCCGCCAGTAAAACCGCCAGTGTTCAAACCCGATTGTGTCCATGTCCATTCAATCCGTGACTCTCTGCTGCTTTTCTCGGCCAACCCTCTTTTCTCTCTTCTTCCTCGCGCTTCTGATATCCCTCAAACCCTCTCAAAGCCCTTCCACGGTTGTCACGTTCAGCTGCCTGCCTCATGTATTCGGCCGCTTCAAGTTTCTCATACATGTTGATGATGGTTCCTGGTCCGGGAGATTCTCCTCGCAATCCCCTCGGATCCACTCGAAACCTGGAACTCTTCGGTCGAGTCGACGATGAAGGTCGACGGTCTCCCAAAGGCTTCGGTGATGTGTTTTCTTCGACAAAGCTGATGTTACTGTGCGTAGTCTTCGGCGTCAGTCGCTCTGGGACCACCTCAGCCGCTCCGTTGGCTACGACAGGGGCCGCAAGAGTAGTCTTGCGCTTCAATGGACCCAATGGACCGAACGTAGCTCTTCGTCCACGGTGTGATGTTCTTGGAGGCAAGAGCACCCCAAATCCGCCAGGCGCGGGCGAAGGCTGTGAACCAGAGTGTCCGTACGCACGATCAATCACATTCTGTGGTGGACTCATGGCTTTCTGCTGATATTGTACTCGTTGTTGCAATTGTTGTTCCCGCTCTTCCGCTTCCATGATCAGTGCGTGGATATCATCGAACGTCATGTTAAAACTCCACGATATCCCGCGGGCAGCCGCCCTCTTGCGGATGTCGGTCAGGGCGTTGTGATCATCCCTGAGTCGATCCTCATATGTTCGTCTCGCTGCCGCAGAGTGAGGTATTGAAACCATGTTGTGATTCGGCGCTTCATAAACGGGTGAATAGGTCTCGGAGGGTCGATAAGAGGCACCAGCCCCAAAATCATTCCGAGTTCCCATGCCACTTGGTGCCGGAGTGCCGTTTGGTGTTTGGCTTGAGTTGTGGCTGGGTGGAGTGTAGAGCTGAGAGAGTCTTTCTGCGTCAGTTGCACGGAGGATAGTGTTGACAGGCGCCGACAGCAATTCAGGTTCGAGAGGATTTGGCGAGGTTAGATCAATCGGGTCAAAGATTGTGCCTGAAGAGACCGGGTTTGGCATCAATGCTCGTGCAAGCTCGACCGAGTCTGTGCGATCAGAATTGGCGTCCTCGTCTTTCTCACACTGACACCAAACCTGCGTGTACATACGCCAGTCGTAAACACTCCCGGGAACGGTTTTTTCATTCTCGTCTTCCCCATCCGGCATCTGCAAGGCAATTTCTGCAAATGCCAGTAGCCGGGACGACGGAGAAAGGCAAGTCAGGTCGCACGAACCAGGTATTTCGAGAGGATCTGGATCAGGCTCTGCAACAGGTTCCTCAGGATTGGCAATGAGGCGTTGAGACCTCCGTTTTGATTTTCTTTTGGATGCAGGAGAGCTGGTTTCCGGCTTTGCCTTTGGCTTTGGCTTTGGCGGAGGGCCAAACACTTCGGCTAGTCGCTTGGACTTTAAGACGACAATTTTGGATTTGTCGGTGGACGTATCGTCGGGTTCAGGAGCCTGCTCGACCTCGACGACATCATCCACTTCACTGTTCTCAGCAGAGATAGAGTATCGGAGCTTTGATGGGACTCTAGCAGCCGAGTGGGAGAGTCTGGCGGATTTGCGGGCAGGAGCGTCCTGGGCTTCGTCGGTGGCGGGACGCTTCTGAGATACCACCGTTTCTGACAATACCTTTGCGGTGGGTTTGCGTTCCCTCTGGGAGGTCCGCCGAGAAGGGGTGTCGACAGTAGAAACTGGTACCTCTCGGCCAGCGACTTTAGTGGGAGACGGGGTTTTAGTTCCGTTGACATTTGCTGCCGATGGGGTCTGCAGCACTTTTGGGGGTGGTTGGGCCTTCTCAGGTGTCTCTTTGGGCGCAGGAGATTTCGACAATGGCTCCTTGCTGGAAGATGGTGTGGGCTCTGGAGATAACCGACCTATTATAATCGTACCGGACGGTGGCGGCGAGTACCTTTTAGTGCTACCTAGAGCTTGCGCTTTGGCAGTCGGCTTGCGCACACGGCTAGAAGCTCGTCGACCACGAGAACTGCGTCGATCAGCCGAGGCGGGAGTAGTGGTGTTTGTGGTTGTGGTGTTGGATTTGGACCTCATGGTTGCTGATGACACGGGTTTGGCGGCCAGGGTGTCAGCGTAATCATCAGGGTCGCTCACCGACGTGGCACCCCCAGCAGACGTGCAGGTTTCGTGCGTCGACTGGGTGGGACTGGGAGTCGCCGAGTCTGCCAGAGAAGCAGAAGCAGAAGCCGAAGTCTTTGAGCGAGTCCGGGCGATGTTGAGTCTCATGGAAGGAACTGCCGGAAGTTGAGGAAGATTCCTTAGGAACATGGCCGTTTGACCAGCAAAGGCCACGGCGCGGGCGGGGGGAAAGGGAGAAAAAGTAGACGTGTGAGGGGGGTGACCAACGTGCTTCCTGATGCTTGAGAAGATGAATGGGATTTGATGAACCCGGAGGAGGGCAATGGTTCGACAGGATGATTTTGGTAGCGGCCACGAGCAACAGGGACGAGAAGGTTGAAAGAAGTGGCTCTAAATCCTGTGCGGGTTCCTTCCCAAATAGGCTTAGTGTGATACTGTGCCACTGCTGGGCTGAATCACCACCCACCGATTGCCACTCGATCACGTCTTTTAGATGTTATGTTCAAGAGATGTCCGACAGAGGCTGCTGCAGCTGAAGAACGGAGGATGCAGGGGAAAAAGAGAAAGACGGAAAACAAAAAAAGAACAAATGGAAACCACAATCAAAGCTGCTCAGGGCTATACCACACCCAACCACCCATTTTCACCCATTGATACAGACACACTCACTCACTCACATAATAGCTATACAATAAGCCTACACCTGAATAGTACTTTACTATTGTCCATCCCCCCAATAAGTGAATGGTCGCCCTCTGCTAATGGCACAACCCCAACTCAATAGGTGCTGGCTGCCACACCCTTTGCTCTTTGTCTCTCTCTCTCTCACCCATTCAGCTGCCCAGTGCCATTCAAACTCCTGTACAACAAACAGGACCCTTCTGGCCCTCCAACTCCCCTCGAACATCCTCCAGTCTCCTCTTCTGCTTGCCACTGTCATCGAAATTGCCGTCATCCAACCAACCCTCAAACCCTTGCTTGACACCTCGCTGAAACCAGTCATCCTCAATCATGGAGAACCAACACGTATCTCGAGATCTCCCTTTATACACCATGTGCTTTCTAAAGACGCCCTCGAATGTGAACCCAAAGCGCACCGCCGCTCTTTTTGACGGCGTGTTGAGGTTGTCGCATTTCCACTCGTACCGGCGATAGTGCAGCGTCTCAAAGACATACCTGGCCAGGAGATACAGGGCTTCCGTGGCGGCCTTTGTCCGCTGCAACAGCGGCGAGAAGAGGATGTTGCCGACTTCGACGACGCGGTGTCGGGTGTCGATGCGCATGAGGCTCACCCAACCAACGGGTTTGGCGGTTCGCTTGTCCACGACGGCGAAGAACAGGGGATCCTCCGATTGAGACTTTGCCGTCACGGCAGCTTCAAAGGCCGCCAGTGACTCGTAGGGGTCGTCGAACAGATAGGTCCAGAGACGGTTATTGTTCTCGCCCTTGACGATGTCGTAGAGATCACTGGCGTGGGATGCCAACAGTGGTTCAAGCACCACGGTTGTCCCTGTCAAAGTGACCCGGGACGGCCGTGAGCCTGGACCAGCAGTGACTGGAGGACCAATCTCTTGATGATTCATTTTTATGCTGCTTCTGAAGCTGTTACCGACTTGCAAAGCCAGCTAGATGGGGATCGAAAGATGTGCTCAGATCGGGTTTCTTCTCTGTCGCTACCAGTCAATGATAAGAGGGATTTTGCCTTGTGACATAGCGCCTAAACCACTATCGACATTGAAAAACGCACCCTAAGACTGTCACAAGATTCTCTTCTTCTTTCTCAACCTCAAAATCAGGATATTACTTAACGAACGGTCTTTACAAAGCCCCGAAGGAAATGCAGCGTTCCCGGCGTCCCTAGATACAGAAAAACGGGGGAGGGAATATTAGAGTCTACCTACCTACTAACTGGTTTGTTGTTGGTGGTGGTGGACCTGGGACTTAGGCGAATAAGGCCTTAACAAGGGCCGATCCGTCGTGCCCGTCGTTTAACCATGGCGGCCTGAAGAATCGGAAATTGATCAAATAATCAGGTTCTGTTATTATTGATAAGACGCTACTCGTACATTTTACAGTCTTCCTGTCGTTTACTTATAGGTCCAAAGTATAGCATGCAATGCCGCGACTATCATGATGATAATACATAAGCTACTGCTGCTTACCATCACTTCAGTTTCGTACATCTGTTTGTTCAATTCACTCTGCGCATAACGCCTTGGGCACGAATGGCGGAAAAAGATAAGCAGCGTCAACAAAGTCAACCTCGTTCATTACCTTGAGCATTTTGATGACCCAGTCTCACGAGCTCATCTGGAGTTGGAGTGCTCCAGAACTTTGACCGGCCGTCGAAATCTGTCAAAATCAGTACGAAACCCACGGCACGCCTGAGTTCCTCAAGCGTGTCATCCACTGGCTTCCATTTAAAAATCCGTGCTGTTGATAACGGTGCGTAGCTCACCGGTATAAATATCAAGCATTTCAATTGAGCATCACCGTGTAGGTGTATGCCTTGCTGTTGTTGACGGTGTGTAGCTCACCGCAGTTCCAGTCCACCCTGCAAAGGACGTGACTGGGACTGGCTAACGTGGGACTATCTGACATGATTTGCTGTTTTTGTGACGGTGGAGAAGCTCACCGTATGTATCGACTAATATTGAAGCAAGCAAGCACGTCTGTTGAAAGCGGGCAGAGTAAGGGATCACGAGTTGACCTCTGGTAATGATCGGGTAACCAGGCTGGTGAAATGTTCAAAGTCAATGGACCATGGAGATAGGTCCCGACAAAGGAGGGCGTGCTGTTGTTAATGGGGCTGAAGCATCCCCTATGCGGCAGTATATGTTGCATTGTTGAATATCACAAGAGTCGACTGTACAACTCTTTGACCAAGGACTCTGGCCCAGTGTTTTGCCGTCGAAGAGGGCTTGTACGTCTCCGTCGTCGTTGTTTGGTTGAACTGGTCGCACGACGAAACCGCGCAAGCCGGGGTGGACTCAGAGAGGGCGCTCCGGAGAAGAGGCCTAGAGAAATCAGGCGTACTCAAAACAGTGCCTCAAGACCGAGGCTCTTCCTTCTTGAGACCAGTGATCGTCTCCCTGTGTTCTTTTGAAAGCTTTGTCTTCACCACGAAGAGACTCGCAATAACACCGAGAGCACCAAGACACGTGAACATGATGAACATGTTTCTTATGCTCCAGGCGAATGCTTCCTTGACTGCGAGTTCTTGGGCGGGCGGAAGAGTCTTGCCCACCATGACGTTGGCGCCGGCGTTTTTACCAGACAGTTGCTCCACGACCGAAGGCGGCAAACCCATCTGTTGCAATGTCGCCCGTCGAAGATCCATGCTCTGCTGGAACACAATCCCGCCTAGAATGACGCCTAACGAGAGGGCCAGGCTTCGAATGAAGGCCTGTGTCGATGTCGCAGTGCCGACACTGTCTTGGGGAACACCTTGTTGTATTGCGATGAGAGGAGGCTCAAACAGCAGCCCTGAACCAACGCCTTCGATTATCTCAAGGCCAATGATGGTGCCTGTCGAGGTGTGTGCATCCAATAAAATGAAGAGGCCAGTGCCCAGGGTCATTAAAATAGTTCCAACCCACATGGATGGTCTGTACTGGCCCGTACGATGTATGATCAAGCCATTGATGACACCAGTGCCAGCTGTGGCGACAATAAGTGGTACCAACAGAACACCTGATCGAAGAGGTGACGCTTCTTTGACGCTTTGGAAATACAGAGGTAAGTAATATTCGGCAGCAATGAAGACCTAGATCGAGTCTCAGTAGAGAGTTTGAGTGTATGCTAGTGCCAGAGACTTACCATTCCGTGAGAGAACGTCACTAGCATGGTCGCAATGTTCCTGGTGCCGAATAGGGACAGGGGAATGACCGGGTACTTGGCCAATTTCTTCTCGCTGTAGACAAAGACAAGGATCATCAATGCGCCGAACACAATGAGGCAAATGACTTTGGCCGAACTCCAGGGATAGACAGATCCACCCAAGTCAAGTCCCAAGAGCAGCATCACCGTTACACCAAGAATCGAGACACAGCCAAACCAGTCGATGGCTTTGACCCCATCCAGTACTGGCGTCCGAGGGTTGTGCACGTTGAGGAAGGGCACAAGAAGCACAAAGGCGGTACCAGCGATGGGCAAGTTGCAGTAGAAGCACCATCGCCAACTGATTTTCTGAGCAAAGGCACCACCCAAGAGAGGACCGACCGCTCCGCTCAGAGCCCAGATCCCTTCACACAAACCTAGCCACAGGCTCCTTTCACGTACGCTGAAGAGATCGGAAATGCCGACATTGACCATGCAGATCAGACCACCCCCCGCTGCTCCTTGGATACTGCGGCCGGCAATAAGCATCTGAATGTTGACGGCTACCGCACATACCACCGAACTGGCGAAGAATACCACCACGGCGATGAGGAAGATTGGCTTGCGGCCCCAAATATCGGAAAATTTGACCCAGATCGGAGCGGCTGCAGCATTGGCTATGAGATATGCACCGCCGATCCAGATGTACCCAGCTGCCGAGTGAAGGTCCGCTGTGATTTTGGGAACTGCAGTGGCGACAATGGTGGCGTCGAGGGCGGCCACGAACAGTGAGAGGTAAAGGGCGATCAGAATCATAGTGATGCGAAACTTGCTGCGAGGCTGCACCTGCTGAGCCGCTTCGGGCATTTCAGAGAGAGGTTCGATAGGCACATGATCGGTTGATAGATTTTGTATTCGCTGGGCTGGACCGATGAAGTCAACCTCTTTAGCTCCCTTTGCCTCCATTAGGGGAAGTCAATCCCAGGCTAGGTTGTGTTTTTGCTTGCTTGCCAGCTATCTCCCTCGAAAGAAGGAGCAATTATTGTCGTGACGGGAGATATTGTTAGAGCTATAAAGGGGAATAGAGGGAGAAGAGAGTGGGAAAGGCAGGGGATTATATGGGTTTGAAAGACCCTAAAAGGACAAGAAGACCATGGTAGGGAGGGAGGGGTCTCAAATGCTATAAGTAATACCCTGGGTAAACCTACTAGGATAGGTCCAGGTAAGTCGGTCAAAGGGCGGTGGACGTCGAGATCTTCGGTAGCCTGGGATGGAGCGGCTCCTATGCGTCGAGCCGAATCCGCAGTAAATGTATGTACGAGCTGCTG